CAAGTTTCATGAACATACACATACATACACAAATGAAAAATCTCTATTTATTATTGTTTGCATAATATAAAATAAAAAATAGAAAATCTGATGATACTTTAAGTAATTCTTCAAACAGTAGGGTAAGTTATTGTCTATTGTTAAGCCCACCCACCATAGGGGTTCTTTAAGTATTCAATTAACCCTTTGATTTATGATACTATCCTAAGTTTATTGTTGTTGAATATTATTGTAAAGAATTGTAACAACTATTATTGTTAAAATAAAAAAAACAATAATTTATTTTCAATTTTCTATTATGTTATTCATTTTAAAATTGAAATTAAATTTTATTACTTTATAATTATAAGATTATTATAATTAATTATACAATATGGAAGTATTTTTCATAATTATAATAATATTTTTCAATTAATTATTCATTTTTATTACTATAGTTTTACTATTTGTTTTATTGTGTTATTTATTTTTTCATTTATTGGTATTTTAGATATTTTTTACTCATCTTACTTTAATATTTAAACTAGCGGAGGGGCCCTGCTTCGTAGGGGTTGGAATGAAATTGTCGACTTGTTGATCTGTTGACTCGGTCCCTGGCTAAAAACCGTTGAATCGGTCAATGACCCATTGGCCCGAGCGGTCGAATCATTGTCCCATCGACCCGTTGACCCGTAAAATGGTTTTTAATTGTTTTTTATTTTTTTAATTGATAACCATCCAGGCAACCAGTTCTATTTTATCCTAATCTCGGTCCCTGGCAAAAAAACGTTGAATCGGTCAATGACCCATTGACCCGGGCGGCAAACCATTTGACCAGTTCAATGGTTTTGGGTCGTTATTTTTTATTTTTCAATTTTTGTTGTCAGAACGGGCCATCGTTCGAACCGAACAGTCGACTCGAAAACCGGTGGTCATAACGATTCTGTTTTTAGGTCATATGAGTCACACGCTCGAATGACATAACATGTATGATACTACTTAATGGACTTCACACACTCAAAATTTTGCTTGTAATTTTTGTTGTCATAATGGGTTGTCTTTTCTTATTTTTTTAATTGGGAACCGTCCAGGCAACCAATTCCGTTTTACCCCAATCCTAGTCCCTAGCCAAAAACCATTGAATCGATCAACGGCCCACTGACCCGAGTGGTCGGACTGTCAACCCATTGACCCGTTCAATGGTTTTTGGTCTTTTTTTTTTCATTTTTGTTGTCAAAACGGGCCGTCCATTTGAACTGGACGGTTGAACCATTGACCAAAAAACCGGTGGCCAAAATGGTTCCATTTTCAGGTCGTATGAGTCACACACTCGAATGACATAACATCATGGTTTTTAAAACGACCCAGAGACTGAACCAGTCAGGGGTCTGGTTAATGGGCCGAACGGTCTGACTGTTCAAACCGAACAATCGAATCGTCGACCCAAAAACCGGTGGCTAGAATGGTTCCATTTTTTGGATCATATGAGTCACACGCTCGAATGACATAACGTCATGATTTTTAAAACCGATCGGGAGACCAAACCGGTCAGGGATCCGGTTACCGGGTTGAACGGTCGACCGTTCTAACAAAATTGTTCAAACGGTTCGATATAATAACTATTATATATTTATCTAACAATATTTATATAATTAATAGGAAACGAGATTAATAATATTTATAATAACTATTATATTTATATAATTAGATAATTATATAACAATATAATTAGATAACTATCTAACAATTAGGAAATGGATTGCTCTCACGTGGAAATCTACTCACGAGTAAATTCCATTTCCTACACGGAAAGAGCATCTGTGCAGAGACATTAAAATTATATGGTAAGAGATAGAGATAGAAATAGAAATAGATAGAAAGAGAGGAAAGAGACATTAGAATTATATGATTTATTGGGCATGTGAGGTCGATTGTGAGATGTTTAGGAGAAAGTTTTAGGTTGGGGAGGAGAGATTTTGGGACATTAGATGATTTAAGAGAGAGAAATATCATGAAACCTTTGTTTAGGGAAGGGAGAATATCTAATTGGTTGTTTGAAATATGATATGGAATATAAAGTCAACAGTTAAAAAAAAAGCAGAAAAAAGTATAGACTTCCTTGGATAGGCTCGAGCCTAACTTGAAAGTATTGAGGTTGTGTACATTTGGGCTTACGTTTTCGGAGAGTCAAGCCAAAGCCCAATTTATAAAAATATTGAGGCCTTGTTTATTTTTACTTACCTGAGTAAATGCATAAAACTTGCTTGGACAAGCTTGCTTAGGTGAGAGGGTGAAAACGCTTACTGATGCGGTTTAGGATATGGTAAGTGATTTACCCACGCTGAGGGAGGGTATCTCGTACCCTTGGGAATTGTAATTTGCCGTAGGATCCAATATAGCGGGAACCAACACTGTTATTGCAATCAATTTATGGATTGATCAATTTATCCCCAACTAAATACGATAAACAAATGAGGCCTTACAGACCAATTTTCTTGGCTTAGGCCCTGCTCAAGCACGAAATATAAAAGCCCATCCGTGTAAATTATCGGATTGGGTCAGTTTGGTCTTTGGGTGGGCATGCCTAAATTGCACCCGTATTTGTAAAGAGTTCACTTTATGGAATTTACAAATTTTATCAGAAGAGTTCACTTCTGAATAAAATATCGAAAAATAAAATCAAATCCTAAAGGAAATGGGTGTGAGAGAGTGATGATATGAGAGTCAGAGAGTACCTCACGATGATGAAACTTCTGGAGTAATCATCCGTGCCGGAGACCGCGTTGGATTCGAGATCGAATGAAGGGGAGTGAATGGAGTCAGGGTTCTCACACAGGCTTCAAGCTGAGGGCCGGAATATGGAGATTGGGGTTTTGGGCGAGTTTTGGAGCTAACGGGATGAACTTCCATCGTGTGAGGACTAAATAGAAAATCATAGACTTGAATCTACTCCAGCGGCCCCACCAAGAAGTTACCTCATAAAATTGAAGGTGAGGCGATAGCACCAAATCAAAGGGTTTTATTTACTTGTTTAAACGCAAGGCTACGACACTTAAATTGTCTTCGGTGCTTATAAAACCGTGTTTACACTGTTTGTACAACTTTTTATAATCGTGCATTGAAATAAAAACTATACAAGTATAAAGATATTCCCAATATATAGCTATAAAATATCGTACGAACAGTATAAATACGGGATTGCAAGCATTGAAGTCGATCTCTACGACACTGTCATAGGAAATGTGAATCGAACATGAAACTATTTTGGGGACCGATTCCTGGGTTAAACGGTCTGACCGACCGTCTATTCAAATTGATGGCCCATTCCAATTTTAAAAAATAAACTAGCGGAGCAACTCTGCCGTTTGAAATTTCCTCAAAGGAGATACAATTGTACAAATGTTAGGAAAAAGTGAAGGTCACTCTCCATGCATTAGATCTGTGTAAAACGTAATAAGCTACGGAATGGATGAACTGCAAAGGGTTGGGCGTCAGGTAAGGGCGTAGCTGACCAAACTCCCACATAGTCAATGGAGACATGCTAAAACCTAACCAATATAGCTATTGCCAGATTTGTACCATGAAAGCTGTGACCTGTGAATCTGTGATTCGGCCCAAGTTAAGGTCGCAAGACTCGCAACGCATGCAGTTCGGCTTCTATAAGAGCAAGTCTGTGCTTACACTCTTCCAGTAGCCCCTTGCAATTTTGCATTGGGAATATCTTCCATAAAATAAATTATGTAATAGCGGAGATATTCCCAACACAAGAATGTAAAGGCTATTAGAAAGGTCTTTGCTCTGACTGAAACCGGATTCCAACGCATGAAAAATTTTCAGCTCCAAAACTCTCCCAAACAGAATGGGAAGTATTGTTTAAATAAGCATAGTTAAGCTCCTCAAAAACTGGTGCAGAGTTTAGACGCCAAGGCAGGTTAAAGATGATAATTCAAGACAGAATCAGAGGGCCTTGGACAATTAAGTATCATGTTAATAAACAATTATAACATACAACACATAAGAAAAATAAAAAATTATTTAGTAAATATCGAAAAATACAAAAAACAAGGTTCAATTTGAAAAAAATGCAAATGTAAATATCTACAGTATAAATACATACAAAATAATACAAACAAAATAAAATTTTACACTACATATTTACATTTTGTACTCCTTGCAAATTAAGCCTAAAAAGACAAAAAACTCAAAGGATAATAAAACCAATCACAGGGGCCTGTGTGTTTGTGTCCCCTGTATATGGCATATCTTCCCCATTCTCATCCTCAAACCGAAACCCTTTGGAACTTACAGTAACTCTCCAATTAATAGGTTTGTTTTTTCGCTATAATTAAAAAAAAGACAAAAAAAAATCTATGCAAGTCAAACTCATCATGTGAATCACCACTTTCATCTGATCCACCGTGAGCTCCACCAGTATAATAACTTAGATAGATTTAAAAAGAAATAATTAAAACAAAAATATCCAAAAACTGTTGTTAGGATTGATTGGTCAAATGCTTAATTGCCCGGATTAATATATTGCTGAACAAGTATTATACATTTATAGATTTCATTTATTAAATAAATATTTGTATTTGATTTATTTTTAAAATCGGGAAAAATGCTTGATAATTCATTTATTAACAATTAAGCACCACATCAGCGGTTGAGTGAAATCATTGGGAGAAGTGTGTAAATGAAACTTCTCCAATGAATCATATAAATCAAAATCCACTTTTATAAATATCAATGTATACAAATAAATATGATAAAAAAATATTAAATTGATAGTCAATTTAATATCGGTAAACGTCCATAAAACAAAAGACACGCCAAATCGACTGAAATGGTTTTATGATGAAACTGAACCGGTTGCTTCACAGGTTGGGTCAAGCGATCCTACTGCCCGGTCTCGTCCGGCATTCAAAACCATGATAAGACTGGTTTATTAAACAGAAAGAATTTCACAAGCCGTTAAATCAAATCATACATCACATGATGTGATTCACATCGCATTTGTGGTCATCTCTCGAAATTTAGGCGGGATTCATCCTCCTTAACATAGAAGCAAGGAATCTACAATGGCGAAAAAGAGAAATCAGAACACTTTACACATAAAAAAGTCATTTTTACAAAAGAGAAACAGACCTCATCCAGTCTCTCTCTCAGTCTCAGTTCATTCTTGCTTCAGTTTTTTTCTGACGCATTCGGCTTTTCGTTTGGCTTTTGGGCCCTTTCCTTTTTATTTTGGAACTTTTTTCGGAAGCATATAGAGATGAGCTGTGAGACCGTCGGTTCAAGTCCAACCAGTCTGCATGCAGACTGCAAAATTGCCTCGGATGGGTTTGAACATATTTTTCAGAGAATGATGAACATGGATACTTGTTTTAACTGCAAAAAGCAGGGCCATTGGGCCAGAGACTGCCCTAACATCCCCAGCGGCCAGGATTTCCCGGTTGTGCACTGCTCTTGCGGGGCTGGACCATGCGTCGTTCTTACGTCCCGCACGGAGAAGAACCCTGGGAGAAAATTCTATTCGTGCCCTGTGACTGTGAGTATTAGTATACATTCTTCTTCTTCTTCTTCCTCTTCTTTCGTTCTGTTTTGTCTGCAACAGGATCGATTGCTTTAGTTCCGCGTTTCTCTTGCTCAAATGACTCTCTTTCGGCAATAGTCCTCTCATTTTGTTCCAAAAGTCCTTTTTTTTTCAAGTGTTGATTCGGTTCACCTTCAAAATATCTCCGGGCATTGTTGTGAACCATTTTAATTGCTAGTTTTCATCAAGTGCTACCATGTCAATCGAGAAAAAATGTCTAAAAATATGGTAAAACATGGATTAAGTCATCCATGGAAGTAATGGGCCATGGACACTACACACATGAATGATTTTAATGAACCTTTAGAACTTCAAGGAAGTGTTCTACTTCTACAGTGTTTTGGCAACTGACAGATCTTTCACGCTGAAGATTATGAGAGCTGAAGTGGTAACGTATTGCTTGAAACCTTTTCTTTTTATTCCTTATATTATCTACCTTATTGCCAGTTTCTCTCAAATGATTTTCATTTGGAAAAATATGGCCTATCTTTTATACTTTATAACTAAGGACATGAAAAAAATATAAGCAACTCGTCATACTTCTTCAGTATGCTTCTAAGTTTTGTTTATGATCTTCTGATGAAGGAAGATTTGGCCCGACCTCATAATCACCCAACACGTGGCGAAAGCGAATTGCACAACAGTGCGCCCGAGGCGTGAACTTCGGAGGAACCAGCGTCCGAACTCCCTACAAGGAGCCCGAACTCCCCGCAAGGAGCCCGGGCTCTCCCTTTGGCCCCGAGCCTTACAAACACAAAGGGCAACAACCCGAACTGGCCTGCCCCATGGCAGTTCGGGATACACCTCTATCCGAACTCAAGACCACCTCGCTCGCCACTCCAGCACTTCGCCCCCAGGACGCCGAACTGAACAACCGTACCATGCCTAACATCGAGGAAGTCCGTGCCCAGGGGCGGTGCGCCTGACTGACTTAAGATCTGACGCTTGACAGCCGCACTTCAACGGCCACCTGCCACTGCCATCAATTAAGTTGCAGAGACGGCTCCGACAAAGAGAGCAGTGACGGTTCTGCCCCAGCAGAGGTGATGACACCCGAACTGGCAGGAGCGCAAAGATAATCATAGCCGACTTGACAGAAGCTTAGGAGTGAGTGCGCGAAGTGGTTATAAAAGGCCCCCTACCCCCTAAGAACAAGGTATGTGAACTTTGCGCCATCTGGTTTTATCCTGCCTTTGAGAGAATTCTAACTTGAGCTTCGGAGCATTCATACTGGGTTCCTCCCGGAGCTTCCCCATCTTCTCCGTTTCAGGCTCCCCGTATCTCCGCCCAGAGGCAGAATCATTGACAGCTAGGACCAGCCGGATTGCGCACCATCAATTGGCGCCGTCTGTGGGAAACGCTTCTAAAAGCCTCCCTCTAAACTCTCATAACCTCTTTTCTCCAAAAGCTCCAACACTCATGGCTACATCCAGCAACGCCGGATGTGGCACGGAGACAAACACCACCGGGGAACAACTTCAAGTCCCCGTGGTGTGCGTCGGGCAATTCAGCATCCCCCTTCTGGTGGATGGGATCCCTAGCTTGAACGCGCCACAAACAGTGGTGCCCGTAAACCTTCCTGCCATGAGCATCCCTCTTCCACTCCCTATCGAAACAACTTTTACTGAACCAACTGCTGTCCCCCTGGCGACCTGCCACAACCAGTTTAACGACCTGATGCAGTGCATGCGGGCAATGCAAGCCCAAATGCAACAAATCCAGCAACATCAACTCCAGCAGCACCAAGTACTGCACCACCTCTCTCAACATCACTAGCAGCAGCAATTCCCCCAACTGCCCCTGAACCAGTCACTGCTTCCACCTCGGCACCCCGCTCCGAAGCCAGTTAAGGCTTCCCCTCAGGGTAGACGCCCTTGCCGAGGAGAAGCCTCCCAACCCTAGAACCCCCCCAACAACCAGGCCTCATCCCCGCCGAAGGGAAAGAATCACCCCCGCCTCGCAGCTCGTAGGTGGGTCGGGAACCTCACCCGCGAAGTCAGCACCTCGGCGCTCCAAGGCTGAGTTCCCGCTCACAGAGAACCGATTCAGCGCCCTAGTAGCAGACTACCAACATTCTGGACCCATAGAGCTCAGCAACACAGAGGCCAGCAGCGCCAGTACCAGGCCCACTCAACGAAGGCGCCGGCGAAGTCGCCGAACTGCCACCCGTGTTCTGCCTGAACTCAGAGGTAAGGAAGAGACGAGCTCGGACGAAGTAAAAGCTGCCCTGATTCTCTCAGTTCCTTCCCCCCTCGCATCAGAACTCCTGGTAGTCCCCATGCCCAAAGACTTCAAGCTCCCACCATTGGACAAGTATGACGGGTACTTTGACCCCAATGACCACGTCGATGCTTTCCAATCCCAAATGCACCTCGCTAGGGCCAGTGAATCATGCATGTGCGGCCTTCACCACCACCTTCAGGGAGGTGGCCCGCACATGGTACAGGAACCTAGCCCCAGGGTCAATAAGAAGCTGGACCCAATTCGTGCAGGTCTTCACCGCGCACTTCGTTACCAGCAAGCGGTGCCCCAGAACTGAGGAAAGCATCTTCGGAGTAGTCCAGAGAGAAGGAGAATCCATTCGGGGCTACATCAAGCGGTTCAATGAAGCGTGCCTATAGATACCACGATTAGACCCCGCAGTTCAGCTCGCGGCGGCCAAGAGAGGAGTAGTGCATAAGGAGTTTAAATGGCACATGGTAGCCAGCCAGCCCGCGACCGTGGCCGAATTCCTCAAGCTCGTAGACAAGTTCATGAGAACAGAGGAAGAGATCAACCAAAGGACCGAAGGCGGGGTCGAGAAAAGGAAAAGAGAAGGTTAACCCTCCAACCCAGGCGACAGAAGAAACCCGGCCCGGGAGGCGAAGCCGAGCCAACCGTCCCGAGCACCATTAGTAGTTCGGACGGATTATATGCCGTTAAACACGAGGCAGACCGAGATCTTGATGACGATCAAAGACGCCCCATACGTCAAGTGGCCACCTCGCCTGAAAGGGAATCCAAACGAGAGAAACAAAAACCTGTACTGTAGTTTTCATAGAGATCACGGTCACAGTACCGAACAGTGTAATAATCTCCGCGACGAGATAGAGGGACTCATCCGTCGCGAATACTTGAGAAATTTTGTACAACATAATAACAATAAGGCAAGTCGGTAAGGGGAGCATGGGAAGGACGCCCCTGAATCCAGCAGCAGACCAGCCGAAGTGTTGCCACAGCCTCCGGGAGAAAGGCTAGTTCGGGGAACCAACCATGTGATAGTGGGAGGTTCGGTGGTAGCAGGGTGTACTTTGGCAGCAGCCCGGACGTCAGTTCGCGAGGCAGCCCGAGAAGAACAGAACCCTCCAAAGAGGCCGAAGACAGAAGAACCGATCTTCTTCACTGAAGACGATGCGCGAGGTGTCCACTACCCCCACGATGACGCGCTCGTCATAAAACTCAGGATCAACGACTTCGAAGTCGGGCGCGTACTTGTGGATTCGGGTAGTTCGGCGGACATCCTCTTCAAGTCGGCGTTTGACCAGCTACAGTTGCGGAGAAGCGAGCTGAAGCCCACAAGCACTCCTCTGGTGGACTTCAGCAGAGAAGAAGTCAGGCCCATCGGAAAGATAACTGTACCTGTGGAAGTTGGCACATGGCCCTTGTGCGGTCAGACTCAACCACGATTTTCTGGTGGTCGCAACCCCCTCCCCATACAATGCCATAATAGGGCGGCCAATTACCCATATCTTGCGGGCAGTGGTCTCCACATACTATTTGGCAATGAAG